AAACACTACTACAAGAAACTAAGAGATTTACAAAAATGACGAACATGCCATGCTGATGCACAGGAAAACTTAACACTGTGAAAATGTACGCACTACCCAAAGCAATCTATAGATGTAGATTCCGACATCATTTTTAAAGAACTGAAAAAAGTGATCATGAACTTCATCTGGAAAGGAAAGAGACCTTAAATAAGTAAAGAACTGCCTATGAAGAAACAACAAATACGGAGAGGCCACTCACTCCCTGATCTCTAAATTGCTATACAGCCACAGTGGTCAAAACAGCCTGGTACTGGTACTAGAAAAGATACATAGATCAATGAAACACAACTGAGAACCCAGAAGTAAACCCGTCCACATATATACAGTCAACTGATCTTTGACAAAGTGTCAAAACACATTAACTGGGGGAAGAGATGGTTTCTTCAACAAATAGTGCTGGCAAAACTGGAAATTCATTTGCAGAAAAATGAAACATGGCCCATATCTCAGACAATATATAAAATAACTCAACATGTATTAAAGATCTAAATGTAAAACTTAAGAACTATGAAGATCACCAACGAAAAATAGGGGCAAACTTAGGAGCTCTAAACATAGCATACAGACACTATTAAAAATTACAAAAACCATATAAACAGTAAAAGACAAAATAGATGACTGGGATCTCCTAAAAATTAGAAACTTATGTGCATCAAAACACTTCATCAAAAGAGTAAAAAGGGAGCCCACAGTCTGGGAAAATATTCTTTGCACTGACATATGAGACAAGGGGATAATGTTTAGAATTTATAGACAATATCTCTACAAGAAAAAGACAATTTAAAAAATGGGCACTGGACATAAACCTCATAATCACTGCTACGCCTGAACCCATCACTGCCACCACTGTTCAAATCCATATCGTTGGGGGTATTCCTCTTTTTCTGTGAGCTTCCAATTTACCAACATGATATCCTTCTCCAGTTATTGGTCCCAACTGATATGTCCAAAGTATGAGAGACAAAGTTTGGACAGTTTGGCTTCCATCTGGCTGGATTTCTTCCAACACAGATTTATTTGTTCTTTTGCAGTCTACAGTACGTTGAATATTCTCCTTTAAAACCGTAACTCAAATGCAGCAGTTCTTCTATGGTCTTCCTCATTTATTGTACAACTTCTACATGCATATGAACCATGTATACGGCTTGGGTCAGGTGAACCTTAGACTTCAAACTGACATCTTTGCTCTTCAACACTTTAGATGAGTCTTGTACAGCAGATTTGCCTAATGCAACATGATGTTTGATTTCTTGACTGCTGCTTCCATGAGTATTGATGGTTGATCCAAGCAAAATGAAGACTTTGACAACTTTAATCTTTTCTCCATTGATATGAATGTTGTTTATTGGTCCAGTGGTGAGGATTTTTGTTTTCTTGACATTGAGATGCAATCCATACCGAAGGCTGTGTTCTTTGATCTTCATCAGTAAATGTTTCGAGTCCTCTTCACTTTCAGCAAGCAAGGTTGTATCATCTGCACACCACAGGTTGTTAATGAGTCTTCCTCCAATGCTGATGCCACGTTTTTCTTCATATAATCCAGGTTCTCAGATTATTTGCTCAGCATACAGACTGTGTAAGTATGGTGAAAGAATACAACCCTGGCACACATCTTTCCTAATTTTAAACCATCTGGTGTTGCCTTGTTCTGTTCGAACAACTGCCTCTTGGTCCAGGTACAGCTTCCTCATGAACACAATTAAGTGTTCCAGAATACTCATACTTCACAATGTTGTCCATAGCTTGTCATGATCTACACAATCAAAAGCCTCTGCATAGTCACTAAAGCACAGGTAAACATCTTTCTGGTACTCTCTACTTTAAACCAAGATACATCTAACGTCAGCAACGATATCCCTCGTTCCATGTCCTCTTCTGTATCTGGCTTGAACCTATGGAAGTTCTCCGTAAATGTATGTTTGCAGCTGTTTTTGAATTACCTTAAGTAAAACTTCATTTTACTCACATGGGTTATCAATCATAATGTCCAAAGATTTCCACATTCTGTTGGGTCGCCTCTCTTTTAAATGGGCACAAATATAGATTTCTTCCAGTCAGTTGGCCAGGTAGGTTGTCTTCTAAATTTCTTGGCATAGATGAGTGAGTGTCTCCAGTGCCACATCAGTTTGTTGAAAGGTTTCAATGTGTATTCCATCAATGCCTTGTTGTACACCAATGCCGTCAATGCACCTTGGACTTCTTCCTTCAGGATCACTGGCTCTTGATCATATGCTACCTCTTGAAATTGTTGAACACTGCCATCTCTTTTTGTATGGTGACTCTGTATATTACTTCCATCTTCTTTTGATGCTTTCTGGGTCATTCAATATTTTGCCGAGAGAATCCTTCAGTACTACAAGTCGAGGCTTGAATTTTTTCTTCAGTTCCCTCAGCTTGAGAAATGCTGTGTTCTTTGTTCTTCCCTTTTGGTTTTCTAACTCCAGTCTTTGCACATTAATTTATAATAAGTATATGTATAGTTACATATAAACAAAGATAAGTTTATTACCAAGGAAATGGGTTATAATTGCAGAGTTCCAGGTCCTCAGTGGAAGAGAGAGAGAGAACCTTTCCCATGTGTCCATTATATTGGGAGCAGGCCAATTCCAAAGGAAACATCCTTTCATTTGATTGGCTGCTCATAGCCATCATCACATAGAATTAACTATGCCTGTATTTGGTTTAAACACCATATGAATAAGCACATCTTAACTGCTAAACCATGGGAATCCTGGTCTAGTCAAATTGACACAGAACCCTAACTATTAATTATGTGCCATGGAGTTGGTTCTGACTCATAGCGACCCTGTATAGGGTTTCTCAGGCTGCAAATCTTTACAGGAACAGAAAGCCTCATCTTTCTCCTGAAAAGTGGCTGGTAGATTCAAACTACTGACCTGCACTTAGCTGCTCAGACAACTGGTAGTGCAATCCAGTACACTACCAGAGCTACTTTACTTAAAGCCTAAATGTCCATCAATGGAAGAATGGATAAACAAACTTGGGTACATAAACACAATGGAATACTAGGCAACTTTGAAGAATAACGATGAATCTACAAAACACCTCATCATATGGATGAACCTGGAGGACGTTATGCTGAGTAAAATTAGTCCATCGCAAAAGGACAAGTGTTGTACAAGACCATTATTTTAAAAGTTTAAGAAAAGGATTCCAGAATAAAAGAAACTTCTTTGAGGTTACCAGGAGTGGGAGGGAGGACACATGTTAGCTTGGGTGACAGGAAGGGCAATATATAAGAAGGAGAAAGATGGCAAATAAACAATAATCATAGGTGAAGACTATGCACGGGCTAAAGGGGATAGAAGTAAACAGTGATATATACATAACCTGTGAACAACAGTGTTCTGTGCATAGATACGTGGATCACGACACAGGCTGAATGGGTAAGGGAGGAAGAATGATATGTATATATACACACACACACACACACACACACACGCACATGTACCACAAATATATTCGAGTTTGAAGGAAGATATGTGGTGGAGCATACAGCAAGCAAATGAAATGATGAAAACTTCCTAGATATTATCAAATATCTTATGGCAATGGGTCAGTTGGCCTAACGGAGACCACAAAGACAGAGTTCTACATCCTGCCTGGGTGAATAGTGTGTGGGAATCTAAAAGCTCATAGCTGTTGTCTAAGGTGCAGCTACTGGTCTCTACATATGAGAAACAAAGAAGAGTGGTAAAAATTGAAGAGGCTTGGCATCAGTCCGCTGGACTCATGGAAAATGTGAACATCAGTCTCCATGACTTTCACACCAGAAGAATTTGATGGTTCCAGTTACCACTACCACTTGCATTGAAAGGGATCACACAAGAAGCCTAGTGAAGGTGGGTGGAATGCAAATAGGAATCACAAGGAGAAAGCAGGATAACTGTTGTTGCAGGGAGGGGATTGCAATCATTGAGATGAAACAAAGTGCATGACTTGTTGAATGTCTATAGACCTCCACTCAATTCACAACAAAAAGTGTAAAAAAGAAAAGGCTACATTGTTGTTGTGAAGTGTGCTGCCCAGTCAGTTCTGACTCATAGCAACCCTGCATAGTTATGTCTGAGAGTATCTAGCGGTTCTGAACTGCCAACCTTGATGTCAGCACAGTTAGCAGTCCAGTGTTTATCCTACAGGACCACAACAGGACTTTTAAAAAAGCTATGTTGTTGTTGTTATGTGCCTGGAGTCAGTTCAGACTCATAGCGAGCCTGTACAGGGTTTACGAAGCTACAAAGCATTATGGGAGCAAAAAGCCTCATCTTTCTCCTGCGGAAACAGTTGGTGGTTTTGAACTGCTGACCGTAACATTAGCAGCCCGATTCATAACCACGACACTACCAGAGCTCCTTTTTAAAAGCTATAGAGGAGGGAAAAAAAAAAAAAAATCAGTGTTATATAACTGATCCCCAAAATGGAAACTGATATTTGCTAGAATCAAAGAAGTCCAAGTATCCACACCAAACCCATTGCTGTCAAGTCAATTCAGACTGATGGTGCCCTACAGGACAAAGCACAATTGCTCCATAGGGATCCTGGGCTGTAAACCTTTATGCAAGCAGACTGTCACATTTTTCTCCCTTGGAGTAGCTGATGGGTTTGAACTGCAGACTTCTCAGTTAGCAGCTGAGCACTTCACCATCAGAGCCCCATACAAGCACTAAACCAAACCCAAACTGAACCCACTGCCACTGAGACCCTATGTTGCTGTTGTTAAATGCCACTGAGTCAGTTCTGACTCATAACAACCCAATATGGGGTTTCTGAGGAGCAGCTGATGGGTCTGAATCACCAACCTTGTGGTTAGCAATCAAATGTTCATACTACAGCACCACACAAGGACTCCGGCGACCCTCTATGGAGTACATAATTATTATAGGCACAGTTCTTGAGTTACTTTTCAATAACCTCAGCTTTAAATTGAATATACTTACGTTCTCTGTATTCTATTTCTGCTTCTTTACGAAGTTTTTTCTCTCTGGCAAGAGCTTCAGGGCTTCCCCAAACTTCCAAAGATCTGTACATACACACATGGCCACCAACAATGAATGACTTTAATCACTTCATTATAATTATATTTAAATATAAATTACTTTATAGATTACATTATCTTTAATAATTGGCTGTAAAATCCAATAACTCTGAAGACTTTACAATGAAGCATAATGACTTTTAGGGAAAATATAAAATATTTGAAAAATTTCCTAAAGTAAATCTAAACATAAAAGTAAATTCAACACCAGTTTTCCTATAAGTTATTTAACTAGAACATACCAGTAAGATCTAGATAAACAAATCTATAAGTGTAAAAATTCTCTAGTTTTAAAAAATTGTCTAAATTAAATGTGTTTTCATTAATCATAAAACTGAGTTGTACTTTTATTCCAAAAGAAATATATCCTTACTTTGCCTCCACATCTGATCTCAAGTAGACAGTAAAGGACTCAGTATCTTCATGGGGGCTTCGTCGCCTGATTTTTCGAAGTTGTTCTAGATCACTGGAAAGGAACATGTTGCATTTATTTAGGGAGTCTAAGTCTCATATAGCTTATGAACTTAAAAAGGGCTGCTGAGTTATGGTACAGAAAATAAGCAAATCCACTGATCCTTATCTTAAAAGAATATAGATCTGCATGCATATCCACACACATAAACAGAGCACATGGGCACAGTTATGGAAACCTCTTAAACATAATCAAACACCTCATGGGACTGAGCTACTAACTTGAAGGCTATGGAAATAGTCTCAGGGGATATCTAGGTTATTTGGCATAATATAAGAAGCCCTGGTGGGGCGCTGTGGGCTAATGCGTCAGACTGCAAAATCGTTTGAACTGCAAGGTCAGTGGTTCAAGCTCACCAGCTGTTCTTTGGAAACCCCAAACAGGGCCGCTATGGGTCAGAATCGACTCAACAGCACCTAACAACAACAACACTTCACAACAACAACATAATTCATAAAGATAACGTTCTACATTTGGTTAAGTAGCATCTGGGGTTGCAAGCAACCATCTAAAATAAAACTACTGGTCTCTTCCCATCTGCAGACAGCAAAGAAAATGAAGAAAACAAAAGATTCAAGGAAGCAATGAGACCACAAGAATAGTGACCCACATAAATCACAGCCTCCTTTAACCTAAGCCCAGAACTAGTTGATATCCACTACCACTACAGACTGTTCTGACTAGGGACACATTAGAAGGTCTCAGTTAGAGTAGGTGAATGATGTACAACAAAATTCATATTCATGTAAAAGGACAGACTTATTGGAGAAATTCATGAGATTATTGCCCTAAAACAATCTAACGTAGAACTGACACCACTCCTAAAGACCATCTTTCAGCTAACAGACTGGGCCATAATATAAACAACCTAACAGGAATATTCTCTTTAGAATAACCAATCATAAGAGCTCAAAAGGGCAACACCTGACCAAAAGCAAAGATGTGAAGGTAAGGAGTGACAGGAGAAAAGGAGGAATGGAAACGGGGAGCCCAGAGTAGAAATGAGGAGAGTACTAACACATTATGGGGATCACAACCAATATCATGGAACATTCTATGTGTGAACTGCTGCATGGAAAACTAATTTGCTATGTAAACTTTCACCTAAACCACAATAAAATGTTGTTTTTTAAAATGAATATAGATCTGAATAATCTTTCAAGGTAAGTTTAAAAGGTGGCATTTTATACACAGAAATTGGTCTTCAAACAGTGAAAAAATCAAACTCTTCTGGTTGTTCAGTATAGATACTATAACATGTAGAGAGATTCAATTCCCTCCTGACTGTTTTTATGTTACAAATATAATGTTGCAATCTTTTATGTAAAAGCAAAAGGTGAAAAGTGGAAAGAACATGGATTAGAGCATTATTTCTCTATTCAAGAATATAAATAAATTGACCACATTTGTTTATATCCAGGTTGATACTAAGTGGTAATACATATTCCTTAGTATCAAATTACAAAGGGTAAATGTCAATTCCACACTATTTTCCTATTAAAATTGTGAAAGGTTAACAGCTTCATTATCAAGTCGCTGCTAAACAGTCCTTCTATGTTTGTTCATTGTTCTTCCTCAAGAAACTCTGTAATAGCAATGAAGAGGCCTTTAAGTATAAAACTGGTGATTATGCATTACTAAAATCCGAAGTGTCACTGAATTAATCCTGACTCATGGGGACCCCAAATGTGTCAAACTTTGCTCCAAAGGGTTTTCAGTGACTGGTTTTGTAGAAGTATACCATCAAGTCTTTCTTCCAAGGAACCTCTAGATGGACTCAGAAAGCCAACCTTTCAGTTAGCAGCCAACTATGTTAACTGTTTGCATCACCCAGGGACTCTGGAAATTTACTAAATTCTAGAAATGAAACCTGCATTTAAAAAAAAAAATCACGAATTATTATAATTTAGTAAAAATTATCTACCTCATATCAAGAGATATGTATTCTGTCACAGGCTGACTCACTAACTGGCTGGGTCCAGTCATTAACATCTGTACTGTGTTTTCTGCTTTACAATTCAGAAGCAGCACTCTATGACTCAATTTACAGCATTTTCGTGAGAACTCAAAGAAATAATCTATGTAAAACAGGTTTGACTAGATTACAGCTTTGCCTCAGTTTTCTTGGCTGCTGTTCTATGAAAGCTAAAACATGGATTAATTATAACAATCCTCATTTCTTAATAATATACCATGGAAGATGTGACCATCAGGAAGGAGAGAAAAAGGCCTGGCTCATCTGACTTCTCTAATTAGCAAGAAATCTTCCACATAAATAGAGCTATTCTAGGTACAGTTTACATTTTCTGACATTAATGATTTGCCACAATTATTAATTTAATCAATACATTTGTCACAAATACATTAACATACAATTTCAATAAGCCTCTATGATAAATAAATTAATAATAAAAGATACCAGAAAGAAGCAAACGCAACACAGTGACCACAGTTGGAGTATGAATATAAATGTACCTAAACTAAGTACTCAACCCTCCTATCCAAAAGAGAAAAAAAACACTTCCAGTCAAACATACTAGTATACATAAACTTTATAGGAATTTTACATGTCATTAACATAGCACTAAAACTCATTATGAAGGTCCTGTGTGATAGAGAGGTTTTAGAGAACTTGTCAGTGTGCGTTTAAGCAGAGAAAGATGGTAAAAGTTCTTGTGGAGGCAGAATTTAGTTTAGCAAACTAACAATTTGAACATTTTGACTAAATAAAAATGTTTCTTCACTTCAGAAAGGATGCAGTGGGGAAAGTGTTTGCATAAGGATGGTGGGAGCTGATGCGTACCCAGTGTCAAGTCAATTTCTACTCACAGTGACCCTAGAGAACAGAGAACTGCCCTTCTGTTAAGGCGATCAAACCTACAATCTTTATGCCAGCAGATTGCCTCATCTGTCTCCCTCAGAGTGTCTGGTGGATTTGAACTACCATACTCTAGGTTAGCAGCTAGCACTTAACCACTGCCACTACCAGGTCTCTCCCGGCAATATAATAAGGGGCTTCAAAAGTTCATGGAAAAATTTCACGATCTTTTAATTCCATTTTCTACAAAATTTTTGAAGCTTCCTTGTACAGAGTAAGATAAAAATGGTTATTTACCAGGGGCAGAAGGAAGGCGGGAAAGGGAGACATTGTTGAGGAAGTAGTGAGTTTCTGTTTACAGTTACGGAAAATTTGGAAAAAATTAGTGATGATACTTACTGTAAAGCAAGACTAATGTAATTGATGCCACTAAATTATACACATGAAAACCACTGTATTGGCTAATGCTGTGTTATATTTATTTTTACAACAATTTAAAAAAGGAAATGGTTACTTTAGAGTAAACTTTTTTTTTTTAATTACCCACTGTACCTGGATTTAAGGCAGAACTCATTTATTGCTCTGACTCCAGTGATGAAATTATTCTGAGTGTACTTTGGTCCATAGTCCCTCTTCTTAAGGACTGCTTTGACTAAAATCAAAAACATAGGAAAACATGTCAAATATGCATTTGGACGTAAGTCCCATTTCAAGATAAGCATATCCTGAAATTTAGGTGGAATCAAAGAAAACGGACCTTTTTGTTATGCAGTGAATGGTATCAAGAAAAAATAACTATCTAATGCAAAACTGTATGGAATTACCCTAGCAGGCATCTAGCTTTTATTTCCATATTTGATGCCAAGTGCTAACCTTTGTTTCTAATGGACACCCTGTATAGCTATTATTGGTTTGTCTAAATTGAATTATTACAATTTAAATTGCTCAGAGTCTAACTGAAAAGTAACTGACATTTCAATTAAAAATTTACAGAGTGGTTCAGTATTTTACAAACTGGGTAACATGAGCATTTTATAAAACATGAAAATAGAAAGTAATCAAATTGTACTGTATGTACTTAAAAATGAGTATTTTCTGTGAAAATGTTTCAGTTACATATAATAATCCATGTGTACACTAGATCATTGAGTAAAATGTATCTCATATGCGGGCTGAAGTAAAAAAGTTTGAAACCCACTGGGTGACTTCACAAAATGTTAGCAAAGCTGAAGCAAATTAAAGAACATTTTTTATCAGCAAAATTTATGTTGTTGTTGTTGTTATGTGCCGTCAAGTCAGTTCTGACCCACAGCGACCCTGTACAGTGTTTCCAAGGCTGTAAATCGTTACGGGAGCAGAAAGCCTCATCTTTCTCCCACAGAGCCGCTGGTAGTTTCAAACTGCTGACCTTAAGGTTCGCAGCCCGATTTGTAACCACTACGCTATCAGAGCAAAATTTATAGAAAGGTTGAAATGGCAAGTGTTTTCTTATATATATTTTTACTAAAATAAAAAACTACAGAAAGTTTATTACAGGTTGTTGTCATTAAGTGCCACTAAGTTGATTCCAACTAGTAGCAACCCTGTATAGGGTTTCCAAGGAGTGGCTGGTGAATTTGAACCAACGACTTTACAGTTCAAACCGACCTTGCAGCTAAGTGCTTATCCTACAGCTACACCAGGACTGTCTTCTATTAAATTATTTTCCTATTGACAAGTGCCAAAGCTGTTTGGAAAATGTAGGCCATAGACACCACTAACAAAATACCCACTTGTCATCAGTAAGAGTTTGTTACATTTTTTATATCATTACAAAGTGAGGCTTTGAGTCACATAATATAGATAAATAACATAAGAAACATTTGAAGAACCAGAGCTAAACAACAGGAAGTAGTGTACTCTGTTTCAAATGGGCACCTAGTCACTTTATTCTCCGATCTATGACTTCTCTGTTGAAATTCCAAGTTGAAAGAGCAAAATGAGCCTAAAATTATCACTACCACGCCACTCATTGCCATTGAGTTCATTTCAACTCAAAGAGACCTTATATATCATTTTTAAGGCTATAATCTTCATAGAACCAGAAAGGCTCATCTTTCTCCCACGGAGTGGCTGGTGGGTTTGACCTGCTGAACTAGCTTATCCTACAGCATCACCAGAGCTCCTTATCCATCACTACAATGGGTAAAAAGAAAACTAAAATAATACATAGATGAGGCTTTCCGCTCCCATGAAGATCTATAGCCATGGAAACCCTGTACAGGGACAACATGAGTCAGAACTGACGCAACAGCAGACAACCACCACTAATGCCAAATTACAATACTATATAACAACATTTCAAAAACAGAGTTCAATATAAAAATCAAAAATTCTGAAAACAGGTATGTAGGGAAATTCAGATTTCTTTCTATATGAATTATAAATCTAAACTGCCTTACTCCAATAACCTTAAAACTCAAAATCTAGATGAACACCTTTGGAGCAGAGAGGAAAATTATATCTCTCTTTACAAAGATTAGGTTTATGAAATCCATTCAAAGTTGCTAGAAATCCCTGTTGGCCTATCCTAGCATGAATTATTGATTCTCAATATCAACTAGTCTTAATTATAACTGTCTACTATGTGTTATCTTCAAGTCACCAAGAAAAGAGGTCCCACTTTTAGCACCACCTTATGAGAAAAAAACTAAGGCACAGAGAAGTTAAGTGCTCAAGGTCACACAGCTAGTAAGTGCTGTAACCACACAATGAGTCCAAATGAGTCATGGTATTCATTCATCATATATATTTACATTGGAGATGGGTACCATAAAAACAGGGATTTCTTCAGCACTCCGTTAAAAAAGGTATGAATATACAAACTACATGGACTTAAACAAGCTATAGCTGAAAGGTGCTGGACCTCTTAATTCACATTACTTTTTCTTTAAATGATATACCTACTGACAGTTTTTATATGCCACTAGGACTCCTGGTGTGGCGCTGGGGGTTAATGCGCCAGACTGCAAAGCCATTTGAACTGCAAGGTTGGCGGTTCTAGCTCACCAACCGCTCTTTCGTCGCTATAGGTCGGAACCGACTCAACGGCACTAAACAACAATAACAACTTGTTTCTTTGGGCTTTAGAAAAAACAAATACCACAAAATTTGTGACCAAAATGTAAATGAAGATTCAATGAATCATTAGCTCCTAAGAACTATATACGCTTAGACGATATAACCAAAAAGGTTTTTATATAAACTAATTTTGTATATCTTATTCAAGACATCACTTTAATAAAAAGAAGAATATATTTACCTCTAACTTGGAGAGGTTCTTGCTTTATAAGTGGAGCTTTGAGTTCTGCGCCCATATTTTCTGCTGTGAAATTAATTTTAAAATGCTTACATTATAACATTTTAAACAAATTAGCTGTTAATCGAGCAATGACTAAAAAAGTTATATAGCAAATACCAAGTTGGATTCATCCCAGAAATATACTAGTAGTTAACAGTACACAATCTATTAATTGCCCTCATTCACAACAGATTAGTGGACAAAATCACAGCATTATTTCAAGAGCTGCTGAAAAAGCATTTAATAAAACTTACCTTCCATTCTAAAGTCTTTTGGAAAATTGGGGAAAGAGGGGCATTCCCTTAAAAGGCAAAATAAATCTATAATAAACATGGTACTCCGTGGTGAAACTTTAGATAAATTCTCTTTGGGAAAAACCAAAGGATTACACCATTGGTTCTTATGTTGTTGTTGTTGTTAAATACCGTGGAGTTGGTTCCGACTCATAGTGACTCTGCACGGGGTTTCCAAGGCTGTAAATCTTTATGGGAGCAGAAAGCCTCATCTTTCTCCCATGGAATGGCTGGTAGTTTCGAACTGCCGATCTTGAGGCTAGCAGCCTGATTCGTAACCACCACACTATCAGAGCTCTTTATTGGTTCTTGTACCACAAAACTATTTTAGAGATACTATCCTGAAGAGTACTGGTGTGGCGCAGTAGGATCCGCACTGGACTGTGACCCACAAGGCTCGCAGTTCAAACCCATCATCTGTTCCTCAGAAACCCAATACAGGGTCGCTATGAGTCAGAACAGACTCTACGACACTTAACAACAGCAGCACTAGTCAAGAAAGGATGACTACGGGCAACTTAGATTGGCTACATAAAATGAGGGGGTGATAAAGGCAAGGAGTGACTGGCTTACAAGGTTTCAAGAGGAGGTTTAGTTTGAGTGCGTAGGGGAAGAAAGAGTCCCCACTGAACAGTTTTCATCTTGTCTAGATGGGTCTGCTTAAAAGAGATGGGGATAAGATTCTTATGATTCAATAGTGAGTAATTGTTATCATGACTAATTGTGACTGTCACAATTGTAAAGGTAGAAGCTTTGTATCAAAAATGGAGGAGTAGTTAATCTTACAGTCCATAAACAGAGGACCCTAGAACCATCAAGGGAGAAGAGCATGAGTGGAATGTGGGACCTTATCCAGAGAAG